CACCAGTTTTTCATAATTGCTCATATTTGGAAAGTGTTTCTATTCTAGCAACCAGATTTGATGATTCTCTTTTTGCACCTGCCACCTGTATTACTGCCTTTTTATGGATACTGTTTAAGGGGACTTTGTGGTTTTTTCCTTAATTTTGTCCATAAAAACACTATCAACAGAAAACTCCAGTATATAAAAATAAAGCTGGTTCTTCACAACTTGTTCCCTAAGTCTAGGTGATATATCAATCTTCCTGATCTCTTATTTTGTAGAGATTTGATTGATTTTCAACATAACTAAGTCTGGTTTTATGAGGGCAGAATACAGTGCTCTGGATTTCAGATGATCAGGCAGCCAGTTCAATAATGTAGTATCTCCTATGAGACCAATTTACAAGTAATGCATAAAATAAAACACATGTGAAGTACAGACTGCTCCTGAATAAGGAAACTTAAGAATCTGTAAGCATGGCAAATCAGCTGACCATTGCTATTCCTTTGTTTTTCTATCTTTAAAATGGAGATGATGATACTATCTAATGTTTCTGAAACATAATTTTTATGGGGAAAATGGCACTACAATTGCTAAGTACTAATATACTAACACACTAATAGTTAAGCTTTACCTTAAAGCTTAAAAGCTTAAAGCTTAATGCTAAGCTTTTAGCATTCTATCTGGATTTTGACCAGGATACAAAGATTTCCATTAATAATAAATTGTATGGGAGTTGCTCTTTGCTTAGCAACATCAATGAAATACCTACTTTCATGTTTGGTAAACTACTAGTTTAAGTCATTTATAAGGAGAAAAACACTTTTCATTTTAAGAACAAGGGGGCCTGATAAATGAAGCATCCCTTCAACAGTCTAGCATCGTTTTTTCTAAGTTCATTTTAAGCCTTGAATTGAATATTAACAAATGGTTATAAATTATTACACATACAGAAGCAAAGTGAATAGGTAATCTGAGAAGATGAGTTTATTTGTACTCTTGGGTGGTTGCTACCATTTGCTTGCAATCTCACTATAGTTACCATTGTGAGGAGAATAGTCAATCAAAGTTGAAGATATAAAATAAAATTGAAAATTGAATTGGAAGGTAATTTTACTTTCAAATGGTTTGCAAATGTAGATGTTAAGTGTGAAATGAATGCAGTTAATGACCATAGCTGGGAGAGTTATGCACCTGCTGATCACAGGAATATTATTATGTGAGGTTGATTTTTCCTGTTGACTACCTCATTTTTCTAAACATGGTCTCATTACTTTTCTATCACGTCTGACCCTTAGATATAAATACTCAAGCACAGACATAATAAAAATACATTAACACCTATATAGATTTTTTAAATGCATCTTTGAAAATCAAGATGTGTGCTGCAGATGTTTCTTGCCTTTGTAGGTTTAACATAGGTCGTGCTTTTTGATAACAGAAGAAAAAAGTTGAGTTTCACCACAAGTACTCGAGTCATTTTACAAGTGAGACTTCTAACATTCTAATTCCTGTTGTCTGAATTATTTCAGAAAACAGTTTCATCAGACCCTTGTTTTATTTTTATTTTCCAAGAAACAATGTAACTGAAAAGTCTGAAAGTTACACCAACTCTCAAATAATTATCTTTCTTCTCCCAGGAAACAAATTATTTTACAGAATTAAGACCATCTTTCTCCAATTTTGCCTGTTCAAATGTTTCATGTACTTCAACCTGTAGAATATAAATATTTTTGTTTTAAATTTATTTACTGAAATAAAATTTTAACTTCTTTAGGTGTGATTATAACTATGTATCTAAGGTTTTCTGCTTCTTTACAGCATACATACCATCACAAAACCCATCTTTAGACTTATATGACAGTCTGATATAAATGTGTGTATTTACCTAAATGAATGTGTTTTGTATTGCTCTTCAGAATGTAACTGAGCTGTACATTTACTAATGGCCTTTTTATTGCTAAGGTACCTAATATTTTTCAGGATGAAGATAAAACTATTCATATAAAAATAAAATAAAACTTAAACATATTGAACTAATATGAGAAAGTTAACTCTAAGTTTTTATTGCCAGTTGTTTGGAGATATGCATGACTTAAGTCTAGGTTCCTACTGCTTTGTCATAGCATCACTTAAAGCAACATTCTCCATTGAGAATTACGCAGTTT